TTGAAGCTGAATTAATGTGTGGTGTGAATGTAGGATTTGTCTTATTAAACAAGAAGGAGATCGGTGGTCTTCATTCAAGCATTTATTAATCCCTGCAAAGCAGAACAGATACAGGATTTTCCAATATTCTGTCTATTCTGTTCATGCAAAGAACTTCACTAACTACTGAAAACTGAAACGGACAGCTGGGAGGGATTTACATGCAACCAAAGACGGTTAAAGCTATGTTTGCTTTCTTTTCCAAATCTCCCAAAGTTGAAACCAGTGAACTTAACTTAAGCCTGAGCGAATACTTAAGTGCAAAAAAACTAAACAAAAACTGTTAGCGTTTAGGTTTTAAAATGGAGGAAAAAAGAAATAGATGGAAAAAAAATTCCCAGCACAGCAGCGTATCCCTTATTATCTCCCCGTGTCAAACAGAGATAAAGGATCACGTAAAGCAGCTCCTGTAACAGAAACTCTCTGATCGATATTGTAATTAATAGTTTTGAAAATCAGCCCCTTAATCATAATATGATGTTATATTGACCTGTTTGGACAATTAAATTATGTTTTTCCAACATCTGATTTTTTTTTTTTTTTTCTGATTTGATTTCAGTTAATTTGAAATCACAAGTGGCTGAAAAATAAATAGCAGTAACAATCTGATTAACGTCAAAAACTTCTCAAATTTTATTAAAAACATTTTATATCCAATGTCTAACATTTACATTTAAATTAATCAAAGAATTCTTATAATTACATTTAAAAACTTCACTCTAGTCCCTTGCCTGTAAATTTCAAAATAAAAGCCTATCTTAAAGATTTTGATATGGATTTTTTTTTTCCATTTTGCATAAATTTAACAGGATTGTTGTTATCTGTGTTTTAATGCAAAGCGATGAATTATGGATATTGTTATTTAGACTGTATTAAAATAAATGAAACAGTCTTCAATTAAACCATTGCAGAACATCTTTTATATAAAGCTTTATATTTATAAATAAAAGCTTTTTAGAAAAAGGAGTTTTCATGCTTTGCTATCAGTGATGATGTCATTAGCAGCCTTCTGTAAATTACAGTACAAACAAAATGTGACAGGTCTTAAAATGGCAACAACATTATAAAACTGGAGCTGTTTTAGGACAATGGATGTCCTCTTTGGTCTTCGCTCCTCTGAGCAGAGGCGCCACCAGAGGTTGGCCAGGGGTGGCCCCCCTGTGCGATGCCCTGGCCATCCCACTCGCCAGGGGAAATTGTAGTAGCTTCAGATTAGTATTTCATCCCATTCTGCACAGCCACGGACGTAACATTAAAAATAACACAATAAACCTGTTTACCAAAGTCTTTAAAATTCCACAATACTAGATTCGACCCCTGAAATTATGGCTTTTAGTTTCAGTGGCCACCCAAAGATTTTAGTGGCCCCATCTGGTCCCCCTGTCATACATTTCCGGAGGCGCCACTGGCTCTGAGCTCAGTGTGTAGCTCACTAAGGGAGCGAAAATGGTTACCTACTTTAGGTAAAATATTTACTGCCCTTAACCAGAAACAGCAAAACGCTGAATTGTCCCGATAAAATGGATTTGCTCTTGATTTCTCTGCAGTATGATTACATGGAGCGCCTGGACGGGAAGGAGAAGTGGAGCGTGGTGGAGTCCCCCAGGGAAAGGAGGAGCATCCAGACGGTGGTTCTGAACGAGGCGGTGTTTGTCCAGTACCTGGACGCCGGGGCCTGGCACCTGGCCTTCTACAATGACGGCCGGGAGAGGGAAACGGTTTCCTTCAGCACAAACGTCATGGGTGAGACCGACAGAACGTTTCACTCCTCAGGCTGGAGGGAGAAACGGAAACGTGACTAAGAGTCACAATTTAAGAGATAGTTTTTTAATACCAGTGACACTGCTACGCCTGAATGACTTCACACATTGAGAGTGTGTAAAAACACTCACCAGCAGCATGTGCAAAATGCTGCCAAAAGCTATACAACTGCAACAGCTTTGCCACATAGGATCGGCCACTCAGCGAGCTGAAGAGGTTTCCTTTTGCCAAAGATAGATACTCATGCAAACATATGCATTAAAAGAAACAAACCCTCAGCTGTTTAGATAATTACTCTGTTCACCATGAGGTGTGTCCTCATTAGGTTTGCCAACTCCCTGACCCAATTGCCTTTAGCCCCCTTTTTTTTTTTTACTTTTTGACTCAAATCTGCATTGAATTAGATGCATATTTGTAGTGTGCTTTATTTTCCTTATTGCAGAGTTTTTCCACCCAGGTAGTTGTTTTTCCCATTTCTTCCTATATTTCTGCATCTTTTTTTGTTTTTTGGAAGAGGAGCATCGCTATACGAAGATGCACCGCCACCAGAAGCAGCGTCAGCATTTAAATTCCTCCGTTCGTCCCCCATAATGCTCTGATGTGTCCCGCTATCTTCTCCGCGAGCAACACTTGGCTCGACCAATGGGATGAGAGGATTCTGGATCGTTGCAGCTCATTGGTCACAACGCAGGACAGGGCCCGGGAAGAAATTTAACATACGTTTTGTATAGTTAGGATAATTATCATTGATGATGTGTGAGATTATTACAACTTAATATTAGCTGCCTGTTGGGTGTCTATGGAAGAGGATTAGGGCCACTGAAAAACAAAAAAAAGTTAACTGATTTTTTAAATTTTATTTCAGTATAATATGGGAAAAAAGTCAGAATT